TTCTAATAAAAACATTGACTGTGTACTTCTTCTACCATCACATGACCAATAATTGTAACATTTAATTTCCCTAACTTTTTTTCTTATAAATACCAGTTTTCTAGAATGTCAATTGGGGGGGTTCTTCCTGCTTGCGATCAAAAGCTTCCATTTATGTATTATAGATAAACAGAGCAAAACAATCCTTAGGTACTAATGGGAATGTACTATTAATGTAAAACGATTTTCAGTAGTGTGAAGGTAAATCCCCTCTGCTATGCTTAGTTAAACATATATCATATGTAAAAACATGTTTTAGATTAGATACGATATGTCATTAGGTGTCTTGGACTCTAATAACACCAAGCTTATCTTTATGCTCATCGTTACAGTGACATAAGGTGCATACTACTTAAACGTTTTACCTTTTGTGCGTATTGCACTTCCTCTTAAGTTCGAAAGAGGAAAATGTTGGTAAGGGTTATTACAGGTAGTATTTTACACATGAAATCGAAGAAATAATAGCTGAAATAGTTACTCTAGATGCTTTCGCATTTCATTAAGTTTGTGTGGGGGTACAACTATGTTATTTTGTGTTACTGTATAATATCAAATCAGAAAATATTCTTATTGAAATCGAATTATCACAAAGAAACTCAAAATAGTTGTTTATTATGTGGAAGTTGGTAACTAAATAACTATTTCTGCTAGTGATAATAAATTACAAGATGCTGTTACTTAAAAACTAAATTTAACTGCTGCATAAAACAATGAAATCAAATTATATGGATTTGTCATTTAAAATATTTTCAAACAGTATTGCGGCTGTAGAAGTAACTGCCAGCTTTCCCACATTCTGTAATCTCTTTAACATATTTAAACCTGTCTGAATGAATGCTCTTCAGTTTCATTGTGCATGTATATCAAGAGTTGTTAGAAGAAGAGTAAGATAAGTAGAAACTTCAAGAAATATTTGCTTATATCAGGAAAATATCTCTAGTATTGTGCTCAAGCTGCCACATATGAAATTTTTGTGAGTTTTTATAGGGTAATATAAAGAGGAGAATGCAACTTTATAAATAAATTTATTTAAAGAGAGTTTGGAAACTGCCCACAATATACAGATTTTTTTGTTGTTATACTCATTTTTGGTTTTCAAAGTGTTTTTAACCCATCAGATTTTAACCGAAAATGACGAAAACATACAGCACATACCCGAATGATTACGATATATTTAAAAAAGCAGCTATACTATACTTTATCTCAAGTTCTTTTTCTTCTCTTGATCGCATTCTACGTCTTAAAACAAATACTGCGTTTTTATATTTGATAAGCTTATGTTCTTCAAATGATATAAAATCAACATTAGTATATTATAAACAAAGTAGACGATAATAATATTGTAGTTGCAATATAAGCTTCTTGAAACGAAAAATTCAAATAACACAATATAAAACTGAAACAAAATAGCTAAGAAAATGTTTTCATGACATGTAAAACTACGTGTAGATGTATAAATGTGTCTTGTAGTTGTTTTTAAGATTTATTAAAAAAACAAAGCATACCAGTCAAAAATGATGGGGCAAGTACTACCATCTTCACCACATAGTATACCTTAACCTCACATTTCGAAGCTAACTGAAAGAAGTAAATTTTGCGAAATCAGGCTTGACTAACAAAGAGGCAGAAAAGCGCAGTCGAAGCAGTCAAATTTCGGTAAATTTATTTGTGAGCCAATCAAAATTAATATCATTCATGAAATGAATTCGTGGCGCATTCATAGAATAAATATTAGTAAAAAGCAGTTAGTATGTAGAATTATACACGGACTTTTCTCTACGTGAAAATAGTTTTATTTGCGAGCTTTCGGCTCTCTTATCGATGAAGGCTCCGGTAAGAGGGCCGAAAGCTCACAAATAAAAGTATTTTAACGTAGAGAAAAGTCCGTGTATAAATCTACATATTAATTTACCTACGCTATGAGTCTTAAACGACAAAAATCAGATATATCAGACAAACTTCTGATATATTGTTTGTTTTTGAATTTCGCG